TTCTTCTAATGCTGTTCTTTTTCTTTTAAACAAGGTCCAAAAATGCATTGTAAACATTGTTGGGACCGCTCTATCTGCTAAGTTTGAGCTTCTTTCCCATTGCCATAAAGTTGCATCTCTTTCTCTTTTCTACAAATTCTATCATGGTTGCTGCTCAAGAGTTATTATCTCTAGTTCCATCAATAAAAACTCATTCTTGCTTGACTTATCATTCAGCTAAGTCTCATTCATTAATTGTTAAATCTAATTAAATATAATAAATGTAAACAAACAATGTTTATTGTCTCAATATACACTAAAACCAATAAAGATAAAATTGAGGAAGAGAAAATTATCAAAGGAATTTTTATATAGGACTGCTTCAACCGTGTTAACCTTTAAGCATACCAAAATAAAAATAATTTCAGTAAATTTCAGTATTTATTGTCCTACTTAAATCAGAAATTAAAATATGAACTAAGATATTGCCATTGAAGTTAATATTAGTAGCTTAAACAATGAATTTTGAATATTTCCCAAAAAAAACAAAAAAACCGACCTCTGGGTTTTTTCTCCAAAAAAAAAACGACAAAAAAAAAAAAAAAAAACAAGAACCAAAAAAAACGCATTACATCTCTATGCATGTGTTTAATATTGTTATGATTTTTTGTGACCTCATGATCCTGAGTCATAAATCAATGAATATTTGTACAAAAGGAATGAAAAAAAAACAAACAATAATTTGATTTTATTGTCAAAAAATGTCACTCACAAATAGAACATTCAAGTTTATCATATATGCTAGAGAAGGTGTTTACCAAGCTTCTATAAATGCTACAGATGGTGTTTACCAAGTTTACCATAAATGCTGGAGATGCTAGAGATAGTGTTTACCATGTTTAACACTAACTCTAGAGATGGTGTCGAAAAAAATACTCATCTTGAGCAGGCATTAACTGCACCCAGCTATTATCTTGTTAAAGGCCTCTTAGGCAATTACATAAGGGGTAAATAGATATTATCTGTTGATCAGCTCAACACCTCTTCTTCATTTATTAGGCTGGTGTAGATATATTTATAATACATTGCTTCCAGTTTAGGATGTTGAATTCTGGATCTTCTTGTCTCATTGCATGGATTTTGTTTCATTTCTGTTTTTATGACTAGGCAACTCATTTTATTAACTCCTAATGAGGGTACAGCTCTAAATCTAAGTTTTAAGGTTCTGAGGCAGGCTGATAGTTGGGTTTCCCAAACTCTGTGGTAGATCACAGAGAGGCTGAGATCTACCACAGAGTACTAACAGTGCCATGTTTCGCATCAATGGTGTCCCTATTCGTACTTTTAGTGTGTATTGTCGAGGCCACATTTGGAGCCCTTTGTTACTGCTTAGGGTTTATTATTAGTAATGAGACAATTGCTTGGACTATTAAATAGTGTACTAAATTCTATCTATGCTTTAAGTCAAGTTTTTTAACAAATTTAAAAATGAATAAAGTTAAAAAACTACAAAACACAAAAAACCATCATAATCATCAAGTTCTCTAAATATTCACAAATATTTATTAACCTTCTGATGTTATTTCTGATTCAGATCTTTTCTGATCAAACTGATCAAGCCATTTCTCTTATCCTTCAGCAGATATTGCTGTTGTTAGTGACTTTAATGTTCATCACACTAAATGGCTTGGTTCTAGTGTTAGTGACTCTGAAGGTGTTAAGGCTCCCAATCACTGTACTTCTTACAACTACCTTAAAGCTGACTAGGACTCTTTCTAAACTTTTTTTGTGATGGCCCATGGGTAGAAATCTTTTGTCTTTCTTCTGGCAAATGTACTTATGATGTAACTTTTTGGATTCAGACTAGCATGGAATTGACTATAGAATAAGAAAGAGGAATGCTAGTCATGAAATGACTAGCATTTCTTTTGACCTGCTCTTGCACCCAACCTTTAAACATTGTCACATCATCCTAATGCTTCTTTTTCTCTTTTCTATAAATACTATAATGGGTGCTGCTCTAAAGAGCTAGCAGTTCTTGTGCCATATACTAAAATTCATTCTTGTGTTACTCATCATTTAATTAAGTCTCATTGTTTTACTGTGAGCATTCCTAAGTGCTCAAAAAGTTCCTATTTGCCTAGTTTTTTTCCCTGAACATCAGTTTTTTGGAATTCACTCCTAACATCTTGTTTTCCTGATTTATATAATTTGCAACCTTTTAAGTCATCTGTTAATCATTATCTTGCAATCCTATCAAGTACTGCTGGCAAGAAATAAACAATGGTTTGTCAAACTACAACCTGATATTCATTTTTATTTTTTATTTTAATTCACCTCCTCAAGGCCGAGAAGGCCACTACAGACGAGGAGGCTACTTATTTGTGGCTATAACCCTTTCTCAACTCTATAACTCCGAAACACGAACCTTGATGAACAAGGCTGCTGCGCGGAGAAACGAGTTTATATACCAGGGACGTGGTGAGAATCGAACTCAGAACCACTCGTTTATGAAGCGAGCCCACTTAACTCTAGCTTGACTGGGTGTTCGAATGTTCACTATCAAGTGCCAATTTTTTGCAAATTTCACAAGCTTTTCTTGTTGATATTAATTTTGAGTCTCTCTAAGTTCACTGCAACTTTACTCGTATTATGTCTTCTTTTTGGTGGGTAAGTATATTTATCATCCTCATCATTGTTTTCATTTTCACTTTTTATAACTTCAGGCTTATCTGACTCCTTATCACTATCATTAGATGAGATATCATATGATAATAATGTAGATGGTTTACCCGGTAATTTTCTTTTCTTTAAAGGATGAATTGTTTCCTTACTTGTTTCTCTACAGGTAGCATAACCAACTTTTCTTTGACTTTCTACTTGCAGATAATAGAGTTGTTTATTTTCAGCTGACATACTCTGTTAGCTTTTGCGATATCATAGGTTTGTCTAATGTGTCCTATTTTCCTTGTTTAATGCATTCATTGTAAATTTTCAACTCACGTGAAAGTTTTGCTTGTATTAATTGATGAGATATATAAGGAAAATTTAATTTATTCTTCCATAAACTTTGAAGTTCTTAGGAAATGTTCACTATTCTTTTCTTTCATCCTTTATTCTAGCTCAAAAAAACTGGTATCACTAACTTGTCTTTTGAGTGGTATTCTGCATTTTTCTTTAAGTTAAAATTCTTGCAAAGTCGTAATGCTCCTTCTTTAATGCAACAACTATTGAAATTTTATCAGATTTTTGGCCCAAATGTTTTTGTTTGTTTTACAGTGTTAAAACTTTTCTTGTGCAACATTGTATATATATATATATATATATATATATATATATATATATATATATATATATATATATATATATATATATATATATATATATATATATATATATATATATATATATATATATATACATATATATATATATATATATATATATATATATATATATATATATATATATATATATATATATATATATATATATATATATTCATCACAAAAAAATGATTACTTTAATGAACTTCAATTTAAACCAAAATTTGAATTACAGGAAGTCATAAATGTTTTAACTGCAGTAATATATGCAGTAATTGAAAATATTGTAAATAGAATTCTTCAGAACTGTTTACTTTTGCTTTCTTATTATATATATATATATATATATATATATATATATATATATATATATATATATATATATACATATATATATATATATACATATATATATATATATATACATATATATATATATACATACATATATATATATATATATATATATATATATATATATATATATATATATATATATATATATATATATATATATATATATATATATATATATATTTAGCTCACTTATTTTTATAGTTGTTTAAGAGAAACTTATTTTCATGCCTGTATTTAAAATTTCCAGATTTTAAATAAACATGTTTATTAAAATCAGAATTGCTAAAACTCATATTCATATTACAGGTGACACCATCTGCTGTACATATTACAGCAGATGGTGTCACCTGTATATCTTGTGTATAACATTGTGACAGTATATCTTCTGCTGTACATCACCCAATAAACAATGTCCCAAAACACAATTTTTTTAATTAGCTAATTATCATTCAAATGATAAGTAACATAAAAATCATATTATTATAAAACTGTGATGTAGTTGATTTATAAAATAAGAAAGAAAATGGGAAATGTTTCAACCTGATACCAAACCTAACCTAAATAATAAATATACAAATTTTTGTAAAATTTGTATATTTATTATATAAAAAGACGTTAAGTTTTGGGTTAGATTTACTATAAACACTGAATTTAGGGCAAACTTTTATCTGTGTATTATCTCCATTGCCTACAAAAATATAAAACAGATAAAACCTTTTAAAAATATAGATAGAAACAGAAAAAACCGTTAAAATGGTTGAAATCAGCACAACAGAATCTACAAATTCTTTAGCAGACTTTTTTATAACTTTGATTAATAAATTTTTTACTTAAATTTAACTAATTCATATTAATATAAGTTAATAAATAGAAAAAAAAATTTATATTATTTGAATTTTTTAAATAATCTACTTAAAAAACAAAAATTGCAACTAAGCCTACTTAACCTAATAGAATTAAATATCTATTAAAAGATACCCAATGATGAAAAAAATTTAATTATAAAATCAGTCCAAAAAACTGTTGATTTTATAAAATACCATTATAAAAACTTATTAAGCAAACTTTCAAGTTACTTTCAATTTAGTTAATATATATATATATATATATATATATATATATATATATATATATATATATATATATATATATATATATATATATATACATATATATATATACATATATATATATATATATATATATAAATATTATATATATATATATATATATATATATATATATATATATATATATATCTGCAGATGTGTTAGCACATTTATCAAATGCAAAAGTATAAATTTATATAAATGCAAAAGTTTTTGTAAAAAATATTACATCCATCCCATTCTTCATCATCTACCAAAAAAACCAACACTGTTTGACTTGGTAAACATCTGAAATACTTTTCATCTCTTACTTCAGTTCCATCATTCTCTAGAACTATTTTAGAAACATTTTTTAAGTTTAATTTGACTTTTCCTTTATCTCGTAGCTCTTTTAAACTAGAGGCAGTTATGCCTACTCTCCCTTTACCACTGCCATTTTGAATTTTGAAGGGTTTACTTGTGACCATACCAAGCATGCGTTTAATAAATTCCATACAATGTTCATCTCCAAATAATTAAAAATTGTTCATGTCTTTAACATTATTAGTATAGTTTTTTCCTATATGTTACAACCAATTAATAACTATAATTATATTTAAACACATAATACAATCAAATAATAATAACAATTATATACACAATCATTACAGTGTTGAGCAGCTGCTATAATAAACTACTTTAATTTTAGTAACAATTACCAACTAACATTTTATGACATAATAAATTTAAATATTATATAATCATTGAATATATATAATATTATTGTAACTATAAAAAATACTTATAAAAAAATATCAAACATATTAACAAATTCCAAATTAAAATAATACTCATTATACCAAATACTAATATTTTTTCATTACTGCAAATTACTATTAATTACATTTATATTCTATCATACTAATTACGAAATAAAATATGAATTTATAACTACATGATGTAGTTATAATTACATTTTAAGTACATGTAGTACATTGAAAGCATTAGTAGTTGTAAATACCCTGTAACTAATTAAAATGTAGTCGTAACTGCAACAGTGTAGGTGCCTCTATATAAATATTTCAAATAAACTTATCAAATAAATCAACCTAATTTTAAGAAATCAAGTAGGTAACATTGGTTACAAGTTTCCATTCCGTAAAGTTAGATGGTATCTTAAAGTCCGCAAAACTTGTAAACAAACATTAACAAACACGAGTAATTCATTCATTTTTAAATGTATCGTAATCGATTGAAAATGGCTGTTAACGCAACTCATTTCGTCACGAGTTTATCAAAAAAAAAAAAAAAAAAACGCATTAAAACTATGAGAAATTCACAAGCTTTAAAATAATAGTATTTTTTTCTTTAAACTCTTTTTTTCAAATAGCAAAAATTTAAAAGATCTATCTTTCCTTGTTAATTAAATATTTATATTAGATGGAATAAAAATAAAAATTATTAAAATGTTGCTAATGACTTCGGATCACTTTTTTGCTTTAAGCTATTTTTATGGAAAACCAATCTTGGGCCAACTAAGACTTAACTTATCTTGATAATAATGATGGTTGAAATTTGGAACATCAACGAGTGTTTATTCTATCTGATTCCTGACTCATTCTTGTGATTTATATTTTTATTTATGTTTTTAAATTTATCTTTTTTAAATGCAAAAAGTGATATTTTTGATGAATGACGTAAGTTATTAAACAATTTTATCTTTTATGCGAATTAAAATTTAAAAAATATCAAATATGTTTTCAAACTGTGCATGTTTTGCAACAAATTTTTTTAATTTCATGCGTAAATTTGTGTTTACATTTTAAACCGATAACGTAGTCTTAATTGAATCAGTGTTGTTATAATTATCATTTAAAAGAGCAGATTTGCTCAAAACTTCTTGAGTAAATCCGCCCTTTTAAAAAAACACTGATTCAATTGCGTTCAGGGTCGGTCGATTTTAATAACATCGATTTAAATCAGTGATTTAAATTAAGATGTAAATCAAATTTTGGATAACTAATGGTTTAAGTCAAATTTTTCTTTTATGTTTGATTTTTGAATAATAAAAAAATTATTTTAAAAACTATTTTTTTCATATTTTAAAACAAAACAAAATAAATGCAGAACTATGTATTTGTAGAAGTAATGACTCGAAGCATACCATAAGAATAAAATATATAAGCCACAGAGCACAAAATAAATCAATCAACATCATCAGTTAAAACTGAGAAATATTTCTCCTGTGTACAGCATTAAAACTGAAAAACATAGTTAAATGATTAACTAAATGATTAACAAAGTTAATCATTTAGTTAATCATAAGTTTTGCAATTTTTAGCTAATACAGTTTTGCAAATAATAACTGCTACCGCAGTTATCAATTGCAAAAGTGTATTTAATGTTATACTTTCAATGTTATCACGGTGTGATAACATTGAAAGTACACTACTAAGTCCACTACTGAACAGAAGATAATGCTGCTAAAATCTCCAAGTCTAATTCAAACTCTAGTAATGGGAACGTCTATCCTCTGAATTTTATAACTGTAGGAATGATTTTTGAGTATTGTAGATTGGCATATTCCCACACAGTATTTTTTCAACTTCATTCAACATTCAACTTTGGTAACGAGGGTTAAGAAGATAAGCCAGAAGATGGGATAGTGTCATTGCTCATCTATCTTAATCTTTTTATTTTTATTCGTTTGTTTTTTGAATTTCTTTTCTCACTTTTACACAGAAGTTTGTTTTCTAGATTCTTCCATTCTTCCACCACACCTGCTATTTTGCATCAGAGCTGTTTTTAAGTTGCTTTGGAGCAAGTCTCAAGTCACTGAGGTCAAGTCTCAAGTCAAGTCTCAAGTCATATAGTGACATGACAAGTCAATCACTGAGGTCAATCACACTGAGGTCAAGTCTCAAGTCAAGTCATATTACAAAAAAAGATTCCCGTGCATGTGGTGGCTATCAGTGACGCGGCTAGGATTTCGGAGGCCCCTTCCAAAACCTGTCATAAAAACCACGAAATTCCTCTTACAAGAGGGGCATGGGGTAACCTTGCGATGGCTCTGGTAACTAGATTCAAACAGTCACCTTACAATTATAAAATACAGCATGATAATAGTTATAATTTTACTTTATTTACTAAAGTAGCTTTAACAGTAAAATAAACTATCTGTAATAAAATAGCTAAGGAGTCATAATACACAATACAGTGACATAACACTTCATAAGCTATTTAGCCAATTTACTAATGTTTTATTCTATCATTCTTTTGAAAAAAAGATTGCTGAAAAAAGATGCTGATTTTCATAAAAAATTATAGCAATATATCCGTGTTACATTTTAAAAACACTAACTGACAAACAGTGTCAGAACTTAAACTTGCACGCTTAGGGTTCATAATCAGGCCACCCTGACTGAATTTTACAAATCACCGAAATTAGTAGCAAACACAATTTTAAATACTTAAAATTAGAACAGCAATGCAAAAACTTCCAGAATGGCGGACGCTTTATTATAATGAATTTTATAAATAAATTACATAAAAAAATAATAATAATAAAAGATAATTTTGAAAGTAAAAATAAATAAGAGAAAAATGAGGATTGTTAAGGAAAGAAAAAGAAAGAATTAAAAAAAAATTTAAATAAAAAATTAAAATCACCGAACATTTATAAACAATAAATTTCATGAGTCAAAGAAAAAATGAACTAGTCAGAACGCAAACAAAAAAGTTGGAATTTTTTAAAAACGAAAGAGCCTAAATGCGATATTTTTCTTCGGATCTCGCTTAGACTACAAACCAGTTAAACGTAAGTTAAAATAAAAACATTGGAAAATAAAAAATGGTTAAAAAACAGTTGAATTAAAATAGAAAGTCGCTAAGCCGAAATTAGCAAGTCTCGAGTCAAGTTGCAAGTCTCAGGGTAAAACCCAAGTACAAAACAGAGCTGGAGACTCGGTTGACTCGAGTCTCCAGCTCTGTTTTGTACTTGTCACTTTGTGTTTAATAGAGTGTAAAAGCAATAGATTCTAGGCGAGCAAGTGCAAGTCAGTAAATCTTCTTTAGATCTCCTAATGACAAGGTTAGAGACATTCTTTTGCATTTTAGTTGACCAATTAGCAATATACATTTTAAGAAAGTCACACATGGTATTTCAGCGAACATCTTGAGACGAGAAAAAATTTTGTCCGCCAGCTTTTCTATATTCAAAAAATTATAGTCAAAGCACAGTGGTTCTTCTCGATTAAGAGTGTCTTTTATTTTATACTTTTCTTTATCAAACACTATTGGTAAGAGTATGTCAGCTACGTTCTTTAAGTCACTATAACCTGGTCTCAACATCAACATAAGTTTTTGAAATTTTGTATGATCAACTAACCAAAATAATTATTTGAAATTAAAAATTAATTTGTTGCAACAATCATTTTTGCAACCTGCTCATCAAGTGCGGTCTTTTGACTCTAACTTTTTCTAACAAAATTTAACAATTACCAACTAGCATTTTTATTTATTGAACCATTATTATTTATATTTTCTGTCCTTGATTAATACAACACAAACTTAATATAACAAAATTTAAAAATTTCTTATACGATGGCATAGTTTGGATAGTTTTGTAGAGTTATAAAGTTAAAAGAAATGATTTTATATCCTGAGTATGCTTCTGGTCTTTTTGACCATTGCATTATGTACAAAAAACACAGCCAACCAATTTCATGTTACCTTAAATTACATTAAAAGTTCATTAAAGAAATATTTTGTTTAAATTTAAAAAAATTTGATTTTTTGTAATAAAATGTGTGCTGCTAAAAGCGTTAAATAACCTAATGTGGAAACCTTCTGCAACCTTGCGCTTATTAAGTAAGCAATTTGTAGACAAAGCAAATCTACAGGCGTGATGGATAGTTATTTAAACAAATATTTTTGAATAAGATTTCTAAATTGTTTACATCTTTTTGTAATAAAGGAGTTAAGACAGTTGTATCCAGTCAGGAATTAGGAACAGAAGCTGCGTCTAGTTTTAAAACTCTTTGAAGTGCGTAGCAAAACTGATACAAAACTAGCATTGTTACGACTATTAAATAGTTCGACTGTCAACTAAATCAGCTAATATATTTTCTAATGCCGACTAAAATTGACTAATAAATTCTAAAAAATGACTAAAAATCGATTTAGTCAAAACTAATTTATTATAAACAATTTATTTTTTTGAAATAAATTGTCATAAAAATAATAAAGTAAATAATATAAATAATATAAGAGTAGTCGCTCCGACAACTGGACAGTTTATGCCCAGGACCCAAACGATTTAAGGAAAGTCTTAAATATTTGCTGTATCAAAGTTTTTACAATCATATTTACAATGTAATTGTATAGAAAATACTTTGATAATAAAGCTTCACAACTTAATTTTACCTCAGAGCCTTGAGCCGGCCCAGTATGAAAGTATTTATGAAAATCAAAAGCATCGAGTAAACGAAAGAAAAAGAAATTAACAAATTCCATAACCGATTATTTAATTAGACATAACTATTTTTTCTTTTTTTAAAGTTATTAAGGTACTCCCAAAAGAACGTACGGTCATATTACAGAGCAACGGAAA